ATCAGTCTGAAGGATCTCATTTCCAGCCCCATTTCAATGTCTTCGGCAAACAACAAAGTGACCGGATCAGCCTGAAGGACCTCATATCCAGCCCCATTTCAATGTCTTAGGCAAACAACAAAGTTACCGGATCAGTCTGAAGGACCTCATCTCTAGCCCCATTTCAATATCTTATGCAACCATCAAAGCGATCGGATCAGTCTAAAGGATCTCATCTCCAACCCCATTTCAATGTATTAGGGAAACAGCAAAGCGACAAGATTAGTCTGAAGGACCTCATCTCGAGCCCCATTTCAATGTCTTAGGCAAACAGCAAAGCGACTGGATCAGTCTCAAGGACCTCATCTCCAGCCTCATTTCAATGTCTTAGGCGAACAACAAAGCGACTGGATTAGTCTCAATGACCTCATCTCCAGCCCCATTTCGATGTCTTAGGCAAATAGCAAAGCGACCGGATCAGTCAAGCGGACCTCATCTCCAGCGGAGTCCAACCCCATTTCAATGTCTTTGGCAAACAGCAAAGCGACTGGATCAGTCTGAAGGACCTTATCTCCAACCCTGTTTTAATTCATCGCACGCAAAAATTGTGATTATTACCACAAACAGATGATTCAAACATGCATAGTAGATTCACCTTCTGATTCACTTAGAGTTTTGAAAAAGAGAAGAAACATATACACAAGTCAAAGTCAAACAGATTAAACAACAGGTTTGCATAGATAGGGGTTTATTGGGCTGCTAATGGTATAGTGTCGGCCTACCTCTAAATCCTGCCTGGGCTCCGGTATAGCTCCCGCAATCGGTGGCCCAACCCCCACAAAGCCTTGATGTGACCCTACGGGTTGCAATCCCGCCTGTCACCTTCCTCTCCAAACAGAGACTAGACTGAGAGGAAGAAGGAAAGAAGGAGAAATATCAGACGCTCAAGATACTAGAAGGGACCAGCTCGACTTACATGAGAGGGCATTGTTACCTTGACTCGCATCAGGGCCCCGCAATGGTGGCAAAAAACGCAAAGTAACAACCTCCTGTCTTGCCTTAAAATTGCCTCAATACTCCTGTTGCAGAGCCTGACCCAAACATCAACAGTCGTCGTCCGCTCATTTTGATAGGCAACATTAGTTCCGAGCCACAAGGAGCCGACTTTTAAGACACCCACAGTTGTCTCTAACCTCAATCAGCACCAGTGCAGCATCACCGGCGCCACAATTTGGAATCAGCAACAACAACCTAAGTACACACAGATGTTGACCGAGCAGACCACCGCTGTAATCAGAGTATTGTGTCCTCACTCCCGCTTCTACTTTCCCTCTTGAGCGCACATACATTCTACTTCTTGCGCACTCTCGCTCCTTGCGACTCACATTCTCTCATGCACTATCCTCCCCCTTTCTTACCTTTCCCCGTTCATACGCCCGTTCCCTCTTACTCCCTTCTCAATATTGTGCATTAGTAATAACGAGGCATACTTAATGCACCTGGTCAGGCCCCCGACCAGGTCCCTTCCTTCACGCATCCCTCACCAGTGTGGCTTGATCGCACAGCAACGAGCGCACACTCGACCTTCGCACGCCCCTCCTTTCGCTTCGTTCCTCGTTTTCTCCTACCTCCTCGCAGTTCCCAGCCCGCAAGTGGCTCAACGGGAACCGTTGTGTCGTGTTCACAAGGACAACCACCCTTTTGTCCAGTAAATACCTCTTCCGCTTAGATCCCTCTCTACTCCAGCAACCTCGTTTTCTCCTTCCCTGCTACCCATCATGCATTCCTATACTGCTTGTGTTCAAGTTTTGACGGATCTGGTTAGAGGTCTGACGAGATGAACGTGCAGCGCAGAGCGCCGTGCCCTGGCCAACGACGAGTAAGATGGGGAAACCAATACTACGAGCATCACGACAACAAAATCTGCAAGGGAGATTACCAAGAAGACGCACGTTACAGAGAAGAGGTCCATGAGAAACACCATAGATAACCTACGCTGGCGGCGGATACTGTGGCATCTAACCAAGAGCATGACAAAGGTACTGACTCCGTTCACCATTTACCAAGCGTGCAAAATGAGAGCGAATTTTCCACTAGATTGCGCAATTATTCGCTGGCGTCAGTCGCCCTGCCTCCTGCCCGGTAAGTCCTCTCACCACCTCTCTCTCTCTTTCTCTCTCCCTCTTTCCCTCTCTCTCTCTCTCTTTCTATATATATATATATATATTCTCCTTCCTCGTGCTTAGCTTCAAAGGCAGCAACTATGGTTTCCAGAAGTGTCTCAGGGGCGGCTTCATTCAAGAGCTCTGCAACGCTACTTAATAAGTATATAGAGTAAGAATGAATCTCGTGCTAGAATACGGGAAGATTCATCCACATATTTCAAGCCTCTGCATTGGTGGCGCAACTCTTATTGCTCATATTGCTTAAACCATTGTCCAGATCGGAATTCTGCCACGGCCAATAGATTCAAAGTTCTAAAAAAAAACCAATTAGATTCTTTTCTCGCACAATTTCACCAAGAAATGAGCGTGATACAAGGTTTTCATCCTCGCTTTCTCTCGTCTCTCTCCTCGTCGAGTCCTCCGTGCATACCTTCTCTTATTTAACTCTCCATATACTCATCTAACACTAAAATTAATGGCTCTATTCAATTCGCCTGATGGAACTAGCATCTTAGTCTGTCGAAAATGGTCAAGGAGTGACAAAGATATGACAAACTCACCTCCTCTTTCCCTCCTTCGTCTTCATCAATTTCCCGTCTTCTTCATCCTCGTGTATCTGGTCCGGATCCCAACCAGATTCATTCTTCTCCTTTATTTGCTCTGCCTCTCCTCTCTCTCACCTACATCACTGCCTCCCTCTCTCTCCTTTTACCAACTTTGTTCCCTCCTTCGCCTCGTTTTTGTCTCCTCCCTTCTTCTCTTCTCCCATTCGTCTTTTTCCCGTTGATACTTAATGCATCTCGTCGTGTCCTTCGACAGCGTAGCCCAACTGGGTTCAGTCTGATAGTACTCTTTGTACGAAGGAAACTTTGGAGGAAACTGGCTGCCAATCGGCCAGGTAAGTCTTCCGCCCCTATACCCAAAGTCCAGGGAACGATCTGTACGACAGTATCTGCTGCACGCTTCTTCGAGTGGAACCAGTTACTAGTTGGTCTGTTAGTCTTTCGCCCCTATGGCCGAACCCGACTACTGAGCTGGAGGGCAGCATGGCTACCCCCCCCCCCCCCCCCCCCCCTTGGAGTTCCCTTTGGCCTTGTCATGCACAGGTAAGATTCGTCATTTTTCAGGCCTCGCAATGGGCATGCTCAACACTCGAACTTCTTACCGCAGGTTGTGGCTGGTGGATTAAGCTTCTGCAGGTGGTCCCCTGCCACTTAGGTTCTTTTCGCAGTGTGAGTTGAGTACCCTCCGGCTCGCATGCACTTGAACTCCTCGGTCCGCATGTCAAAACGGCTATGACAAAGGAATCATGTCAATGCTCTGAACGGGCTCCGGACCTGCCAAGAAAGACACATGCTCATTTGTTTGGCTGCCGTGATGGCCATCCGTGGAGATTTCCACCGCTCCCCCACTGCAATGCCGCCCTCGGCAGCCCATGCTGGTTTGCACCCCATATACAGTCAAGAAGGGCGGCAACACACTTGTCGTCCACCCTATTTAGGTGGAGGTACGTGACTGCCTTCCATCTGTCGTTTGCTCAGTAATTTCAAGCAGTCTCCAATTCTCTCTTTGAAGTTATTTTCCTCCCTCCTTGCGATATTTCTTTGCTGTCGGTTTTTTAGCCAGGTTTCCGGCTTGATCAAAAACCAAATTTTTAGGAAAAAGTAAAAAGTAAAAATATTTTTTTACAAAATTGGAAGAACTGACGAGGACGAGGACCCGCCGACACCCTCTTGGTCTTCCCAGTCGGATCCAGGCCCATACCCGTCCGACAAAACCAAGTGGGATAGTCCCTTACAGACCCTCGACCCCTTAGTCTCCGCCTGTCGCGCTCCTTTGCTCCATCGCCGCTGCTGACCTCGAACCCCAAACCCGTCGCCGGAAAATCCAATACTGTAACCAAAATGGCTAAGCCCAAGCTTGAGCTCGGTAGGTGCGTACCTGCATATGATCAGTTCGAGGGACCGTGATTGGTCCTACCCACACAAACCAGGACTTCGCCTTTGGTCTACCGGCCAATTTCCAGGTCGTCTGAAGATGCCGCCTACGCCCAGGATCATAACTATCTGGTATCTTGGTCTTCGGGCGCACAAGATACTTTGCCGAACTTCTGACTTTCCTCGTGCTAAATTTTGACAAAGCTACGCTTTTTAATGTGTCGTCAACACAGTCTTCCCGTGAGCGAGTAAGGTACTTTCTTTACTTCTTTGCAACGCATCCTACCCGAAGTTGAGTCGGTTTGTGGAGTGAGATAATTCTTTATAAAATAAAAAATATATATAACCAAATTGAAAAACTATAGAGAAGGTAACCGGACCCTATGGCCTTTAACACCTTCCGCCGTCCTGGTACTGCTTATGACTAAACGACCACCTCACAGTGCAACGCAATAATGTGTGCCCCACAGAATCTTTAATTTGTTTGCATTTGGCTCGGACTTTCGCCAGGAGCGAGGCTCCCGAGGTGAGCGCCCTGACGGAATTTTCCCCATCAGCACGTTACGTTGATTAAGGACGCTCCCTGTGCGACCTTTAAAAATGACGACAAATTCCCTTGTAAGGGTGTTTGCTACGATAGTCCTCCCAGACCGCATTAAGCGATGTTTCCGTCGTTTTGGGTAAGGGTTATAAAGTATACGCGAAAACACAAGCAAATGCATAAACTGAGCAGATGGATAACCAAATCCGTATAATCGGAAGGACTCAGCTTGGGGTTTGGTATTCTAGTTCTGTGGCGTCCCTATGGCGAGCAAGAGCCCAACCTGCACCTCCTGTCTGACTCACAGGGATACTTTGGTTATACTACCACCCTAGGTTAGCTCCAGTGCTCCAATACCAACCCCTTCCGTTTGTCCGAGACGCCTTCCGATTTTCATTGGGTGTCGTCTTAATCGGGTTGTCAAGTAACCGTCATCTTCGGGCGTGGGTTTTTAGGCAAGACAACTGCACTGAGTGGGACAAACCTGCATCACACAACAAGTGCATGTAGCTTACGCTTCTCGAGTAGCGTAGCAAAATCAAGGCATATTCCTCTAGGTGGCTCACTCTACAATAAAAAAGAATAGCATACTCCTCTCGGTGGCTTACCATATAAAGCACGCCCCCTTGAGTAACTCAACTTGTGATAGACATAGTGCTGCATGTAGCTCACTCCATGCAATTAAATCAAAACTCAGCCCGACCTTGCGTCTAGTCACAGGTGGGTTATAGTCGTGCCCTTGGCCACCATAGTTTGGCTGATAAATAGGAATCTGCTGCTCCTCAGTCCTCCTCCCGTCGACCAGACCTGTCATTGCCTGACGCCTCTGATCCTCCTCTAGGTCAATAATCCTCTGCTCGAGTCTCGAGGTAGACTGTCTCGCCTACTCGACGTTGGTGACGAGGTCAGATACCATGTCCCTCAGTCCTCTATTATCCTGTTCCAGAGCACCTATCTTGTGTACCGCATCCTGGAGCACCTCTCCTCGTGCAACCTCGGTTTGCATGAGTCTCCTGACATGCTCCATCACTCATGCCAACTGTCACACTGAGGCATCAGATAACAATCTCGCCTGAAGCCCCTCTCTGCCTGTGTACGCTCTCCCTCAGGCATAGGCTCCTCTCCTGTCCGCCTCCTCATCCTAACCTCCTCCTGCCATCCGGCTATGGCCGCCTCCTCATAGAAGAGCCTCTGTGTCTGCTCCTCGGTCTCTTGCCGTAACCTGACAAGAGTCGATACCTGACTCTCCAACTGAGATGATCACACGGTCTCAAGGACAACCCTGCGGTGAAGCCTATCTCTATCTGTCACTTCTGCAGGTGGCTCATACTTCCTGGGTATCCTCTGAACCTGCGCCCGCTAATCACTCGCATCCCTCTCTTGAATCTTGAGGACCGCCTCGACCTCCTCTAGAGTCTGAGTCGCCCTTCCCTCAACAAACGTACGGAGGTCACTCACCGCCTCTCTTAATGCATCGTGCTCCGTCTGCCTGTTGCGACTCAGCTCAAAGGATCAGATGAGGACTCTCCTTGTATAATCTCTAACCTGCTCCGTCGCCTCTCGAGCTGCTGCGAGGCCGTTAGTACCCACTACCAATATAGGTCCTCTGCATGGTTAGGTCGTCATATAATACCTTGAGCCCACCAGTGGTCCGATCCTCCGGTAAATGAGGTCTCGCGGCCTGGCCCAGTCGCTCAAATGCCAACCAGCCCGAAAAATGTAACGATGGTATCCGTCCCATCTCCTCGGCTAGCCACGCATTCCTTCTGACAGACTCATGATCTATCGGCTCTCGAGACTCTGGTAAGCTCTCCTCCTCATGAGTCATGGATGCGTCATGAGTGCGTTCCGGGCCTACCTCAACGTGACCCCTCATGTTGGCCTCACTCTTATCATCGTTTCGTCGAGGTGTATCCCCAAAATCCTGAGGTGACGATCCCTCTCGCTGGTTTTGTACACCCTCCGTGGGATCCCCCCTGTCTAGCCCCAAGACCTCGGCCTCAACCTGCTCTGTCTCTATATCCATGGTCGATGGTTGGGATACCTTCTGTCCTACCTGCATCCTAAGAGACTCCATGTTATATAGCTGAGCAGTCAACGAACCCTCAGGCTCAGTTGGCTGCTCGGCCAATCGACTCTCGCTCAGTAATGGTAATCCGTCCAATGATGAGGGTACCATCACACCTCTTTCACCATCCTCCACTGTCGGCTCTGACTGAGACTGGACCCTCTGCCCATCATGCCCTAGCTCATCATATATCGGCGTCGCATCTCCCGGTTGCTCAGGCTGAGGCCCCTCGTGCTCCTGCATCAACTCTATGGTGGCAGACCCTATCATAAGCGGTAGCTCTCCTTATGGGAGATCTAATGCCATATCCCATGTGTCTCTCCACTAATAAGGCCTATCCCTCCTATCCTCCAATGCAGTATCGGAAACCACTCTCTCTGTGGTATCAATCCCTGTAGGTTGGCCTGAAGCAGTCGTCAACACAAGTTGTGGGGTAGCCTGCTCCCCATCCTCTCTGAATGTAGGCTGAGTAATCCTGTCTGCCTCGTGCGCACCACGGTTTCTAACCCCTATCTCAGTCGGACATGTCTTTGGTACTGACACTGTCCCAATCTTCGGAGTAGATAAGAACACTTTGTCTCTGAAACCCTACTGATAAGGCCTCCTTCCCCACATCACATGTCGGGAGGGTCCTCCCAATATCCATGGTCAGCACCTAATCTCTCCCCTCTAGATCATCCCCTCGATCCTTACGCCCTCGGCGCCTGCCTGTCCTAGGCCTGCGTGGGGTCTCTGGCTGCTTACTCTCTCTCTGTTGCTCTCATGGTCATCTCTCATCGTCCTCAACCCTCTCTTGCTGCCCTCGTGGACGTATCCTGAGCTCTAGGACGTAATCTCTAACCTCTCTGCGCAGCCTGCTCCGTCTACCAGCAGTGAACGCCCCTCTAAGTGTCGCTATAAGCTCCGCCCAAGTCTGCGCTGTGTGTGACAGGGTACTCACCTCACGTCTAAAGCTTCGGGGCAACCCAATGCCGAACCTGCCTAACCCTCTGTGCCTCAGTCCATCTCTGCTTATCCCCAAAAATGATAAAAACCTCAAGAAACTCATGCAGGTTAGCCCCATCAAACCGTATGAGCCTGCTCTGTCGATCAATGGGCTGAGGCCACAATCTCAACATCCGCCTGGCGAAGTGCCTCTAATCCAATGACTCTCTCACGATCTGAGCCACATGCTACTCATAGCTGCCAGTATCTCTAACCCTCTCTGTCATCTGAGCGAAATCTAACCCAAGGACCCAAACTTGGCTAACTAATCCGTCAAAAAATGAAAATACATGTTCACCCCCATAACGGAAAGAATCCAATATCGAAGACATGGCTAATCGCTCATCCTCCTGTCCCGCCATCCTCTCGCCCCTCCAAATAGTGGCCAACTTCGAAAAGCCAACCCTGCACAAATAAGAAGGACGACAATAGAGAAAACATAAGAAAGCACAAAAGAGGATGGGAAATGGATATACCGACTGACCCAAGCAGATCTCTCGTACTCTCAGACTATTGACCTGACTGACGAACTAAAACTCATACTAAGACCTATCTAAATACTAGCACACAATTCTATCATATTACTAATGCAGAGTACCACCTAATAAGACAAGGAATCAGATACTATTTCTACTCGCCGTGTTTTTCCGTTGCTCTCACCTTAGTCTTGCGTTTTGAGTTTTTTTAGTTTTGAACCCGAGACCTAGTCTCTCCACGACGCACCGTTAAGCTCCTCAATCTCGTACGCTTCATGTTGCCCGCATCGTTTAATGTGATACGGGCCTAACCACCGCTTGTCCAACTTGCGCGACCACTGCTTTTCTAGCGATGAGTCGTATAGTAGTACTACATCTCCAACTTCCAGTAGCTCCTTCCTGATTCGTGGGAGGAGATCCCACCTCTCCTTGTCCCCTAGCCGACTATCCGTTACTCGATCTGCAACTTCTTGGATCCTCTCTTCCACGATGCTAACTTGTCTGGCCCACAAATCCAGTAACTATTCGAAGGACAAGGTGCTCTCTATATACTGCCCCCTCCACGTCTTCAGAAAGCTCTCTATCGGGAGCATGGCATGCCGTCCATACCATAGCGTTGCTGGTGCATACTTCGAGGATCTCTTAATCGTAATATTCTCCACGAAGAATGTTGCGTGCAGATGCTTAGGCCACCGATTCTCCCTGCCGTTCGTTCATTTTGCCAATAGATTCGTGATGGTAGTATGTGCTCTTTCAACTGGGGCGTTCGCCTGCGGGTGTGCCCTAGTTGTATAGCTGACTTGAATGCCATACTCGTGCAACAAGGTTCTTACTTCTCCACAGGTGAATTCTGACCCTCTGTCCGTCACGAATTCTACTACGAAAGGGTATCTGATAAAGTATTCTGAGATACACAAAGTCAATGTTTCGTCCGTCTTACTGCGAATGACTGGCCCATCGACAAACCCCGTAAAATTATCCCTCGCATCGAAGATTTAGTTGTAGCCGCCCACTCTCTGAGGCATTGCCAATAGGTCCAGATGGACTACTGCCCCTGCATCACGTACAATGCGTGGGTGCAATGGCTCCTTGTACGTAGTCGGCGCCCTAATTTGACATGGAACACATGACTCGCAATACTTGCGAATCATCTCACTCATTCCTTCCCAATAGTAAAGCTCTCGCGCCTTTGCATATGTTAAGGCAAAAGCTTTGTGACCGTCTGCGGGTCTATCATGAAGTGCGACTATAACGTCTATCTTACGATTTCGGCCGCAGATCACCCTCCTCGGGTTGCCAACCTCATTTTTGATAAAAAGGTGTTCGTCCCAGACCAAAAAACGAGGTCGCATCTCGATTACCTTTTTAGTCGCTTCTCTCTCGCTGATCTCGCACGAGAGAAGCAAACCTAATTCGTGGTATACGCCTTCGTACGCATCTGCGCGAAAAACTTCTGTTATTTGTCCTTCCTCGAACTCGTCCTCTTCCATATCTCTAACAGGGCTTCCACTCCCTTCTCCATCCTCGGACACTTGGACGATTGAGTTGACGAGAAAACTGACATCCGCCACATACGTTGCGTGTGTGTCGAGTGACTAAGCTCCGCTTTCAATGGCCAACGGATCTTCTCCAACCCAGAAGGTCTCTGCCAATCCAAGCTTTGCCTTCCACTCAACCTCATTCCCTCCCCAAGGATCCTTCTCCACGAAGTCCTTGAGAACTATATCTGCTCGCTTCACGTACCATGCAGGGGCAAGAAAGGCAGACTACCCTTGCACAATGACTCCACTGACCCCAATGACATGCGCATTGATATGGAGCTTCACATCCTCCTCCTGATCGAGGAATGCGTCCACCGGAGGTATATCCTCATTAGCTCCTTCGCCGGACTTATCCCAATTGATCCGACTAAGCCCGTCAGCCCGATTCTTATTCCCAGATATACGCTCCAACTCAAAGTTAAACATCCACACATAAGCGAGTCACTTGACAATAGTTGGATTTGATGGTGTATAGTTCTTCAATGAGTTGGTCAGCGCGGTCGGATCCACTCTTAGCACAAACCTCCTTCCGAAAAGGTAGTTGCGGAATACCCTTAGACAGTGGAGAACTGCAAGTAGTTCCTCTCAGAGCATTTCAAGGTTCGACTCTCGAACCCCAAAGGCCTCTCTTTGCCATTCGCATCAGCTTGGATTAGAACGCCACCCAAGGTTGTAGGCCCTACATCGGTCTCCACGATGAAAAGATGTATTGGCGTTGCTTCGAAGTCAAGGACTCTCAACACCAAACCTCCTTATCTGAACTCCTTTTCAAACAACTTACCACTCCTTCCTGCTTCTCATCTCATTCTCATTCTTGATCCTTCCTCACAAGCTTCCTCAACTGTTGTGTCTTCTCAACGAAGTTTTTGATGAAGACTCACCAAAAACCACATGTCAACAAGCAGCTACGAATTTCACTAACAGATTCGAATGACACCGATCATTCGAGTATCTTGTTAGTCTTCTTCATGTCAGGGCGACGACCGTTCTCGTTACATACGAAGCCTAATATGGTCGCCTCCCCCATACAATGTCTCAACTTCAGTCCACTTGTGGTAAGGTTGTAATCCTTTAGAATGTCCAGAGCCCAAGCAATATCTTGTATATAATCCGAGACGAATTTCCTTACCCCAGGCATAACCTCCGTCTCGTCCTTCTCCTTCCGCCCTTTTACGACCAAATTGTCAATATATGGTTGCATAAGATGTGGACTAACTGTCTGCATAACGCAAACCATATGCCTCTGCATCATCGCCACAACATTCATCCACCCCTGTGACACCATGTTCATATGGATTCCTCTTGGTGTATGCATCGCAGTCATAAGCCTATCAGGCAGATACACCGGGAACTGATCGTACCCTGAATACAGGTCTATTAAGGAAATGATAGGTTACCCAACACAGGATTCTGACAGCGCGTCTGCATTCGGCAAGCCTCCCGCATCTCGTATTGTTACTGCATTCAGGCACTGAAGGTCCTGTACCCACCTCAGGGTACCGTTCGGCCTGATAAAGCAGAACCATGACGATCCGTAAGGCCCACTTGAGTAGTTGGCTACATGAAAATGAATCTTGTCATCCAGGTAGTCAACTACTCCCCGTTCCTCTGCCGGATTGGGATAGCGTGGCCCTCGCAAGTTCCATGGCACGTGAGGCACAGTGTGACTCCGAATCATAGGCACTTTATCCACATTGAGACGCCCTCGCTCATCATCGTCAAATGCATATGCGCGATGCTGCTCCTTCATTACCTCTACCATAAGAACCTTTTCTTGCGGGGTGAGAAACCCTGACTCCCCTATTATCAAATTTCCTCAGTCCTCTCATTGATACGGCATGACCCATGTTCTACATCCTCCTTCATTTGTCGTATCAGTTCGCGTTCCTGCTCATAATAGAACTCTTCTTCCATAGTTATGAGTACAGAAACGGGGTGACTCTTCTCATTCACACACTTGTACCTCCTTTTTGAGCCCTGTTTAAGCCCACCCCTAAAAACGGCTGACTTGCAGCACGACTCTGGGGTACCCCTTGCTCTTTAGCTCTTGCCGGCAACCGGTACACAAGCTTCACTTCTCCCTTGCCAGAGTCTTCCGCTATTCTTTTTCTCAAAGCCTGTACGACAATGAGATCTGCTATCCTATACGACGACACTATCTCCATGGCATCATTGATGCTCGTTAAGCTTAAACACATCTCGCCAATAGGCTCACATTCCTCTTCGTCTTCGCCCATTAATCTCTTTCTCTCCCCTTCCGATTCCTCAAAAGTAAAGGAATCCGAATTTGGCATGTTCCTCATACTACGAGGTCTTGTATTATGACAGGTGGTGATCTCGTAGTTGCCGCAGACTGGATCGCTCAGGATGACATACATTGTACCGTTGTCGAGCGCATCAGCCCCCGCGCGAGCGAGGGACCTCTCGACCGCGTCACGCAGGAGAAACTTAGGCTCTCAACGTTTTAAAGA